ATTTTTTTCCAGCAGGTCGTTGAAATTTTCTGAAGTTCGCTGAATTGCCTGAAGCTCACCGACTTCACTGAAATCCCCAGAAATTTGCGGCCTTCCCATAGGTTTCAAATTTTGATGAAACTCGCAGTCTTTCTTTAATTTAGTACAATTGATAGACTTCCTTTAAGTTCTCAGACTTCCCTGAAGTTCCCAGACATCCCTGAAGTTTGCAGATTGTTCTTAGAATTTGTAGAATTTTCCTGAAGTTCTAGATTTTTTTCTAAACTTTTCAATTTTTTTTTCCAGAGGTTTGTTGAAATTTTCTGAAGTTCGCTGAATTTTCTGAAACTCACCGACTTCACTGAAAACGGCTTTTGAAATTCACAGAATTCCCCCGAAATTCGCGGGTTTCCCAGAGGTTCGCAAATGTCCATGAAGCTCGCAAACTTTCTTCAATTTAGTACAATTTTCTGAAGTTTCATAAAATTCACAGACTTCCTTGAAGCTAGTAGACTTCCCTGAAGTTTCCAGAACTTCCTGAAGCTTCCAGATTGTTCCTGAAATTTTCCGGATTTTTCCCTAAGTTTCAAGTTCGCAGAATTTCCCAGAAAATTGCGGGCTTACCACACACTTAATCTAGCTCGGTAAAATCTCCAACAGCCGATTACCTCGGCATTTAATTTTCCTGATATCTCTGCAAAATATCTGTTTGTTAGCTGATATCTCAGCAAAATGTTATTTGTTAGCTGAGGCTCGGCAATTGTTTTACTGAATCTCAGCAAAATAAATTGCAGAATCGCTCGGCTGTTGGAATCTCAGCGAAAAAAATTAAGTGTGCAGAGGTTCACAAATGTTCATGAAACTCACTGACTTTCTGTAATTTAGTACAATTTTCTAAAGTTTCATAAAGTTTACAGACTTCCATGAAGTTCCCAGACTTCCCGGATGTTCAGAGATTTTTCTTGAAATTTGCATAATTTTTCTAAATTTTCCAAAACTGTTGAATTTTCCTGAAATTCGCTGAATTTTCTGGGAGTTCTGGAAAAAATTTCGGAACTTCTCAAAACATTTCAGAAGTCTGTTGAAATTTTCTGAAGTTCACAGAATTTTCCTGAAGCTCACCGACTTCACTGAAAGTTGCAGAATGGTTTTGAAGTTCGCTGAATTTCCCAGAAATTCGCGGGCTTCCCCTAGGTCGACAAATTTCTATGAAGCTCACAGACTTCCTCTAATTTAGTACAATTTTCTGAAGTTTCATAAAATTCATAGACCTCGTTGAAGCTCGTAGGCCTCCCTTAGCTCAGTCGGTAATGGCGCAGCTACAAAGCAAGACCATGCTGGAGGTGGCTGGGTTCGATCCCCAGGCCGGTCTAGAAATTTTTCGGGTTGGAAAATGTCTCGACTTCCCTGGGCATAGAAGTATGATTGGACTTGTCACACAATTATACCAATGCAAAAATGGTACAGGCATCGAAAGCTCTCAATTAATAACTGTGGAAATGCATCTAGAACACTAAGTTGAGAGCACGCAATAAGCTAATATGCGATATGCAATAAGCTTGAAATGCGAAGAAGAAGAAGAAGCTCGTAGACTTTCCATAAATTTCCTGAAGCTTCCAGATTTTCCCTGAAATTTGCAGAATCATCCTGAAGTTTGCAGAACTTTCCAAAAATTTGCTGAACTTTCGTGAAATTCGCAGAATTCTTCTGGACTTCATGAATTTTTTCTGAACATTTCAAAACTTTCCAGAAGTTCATTGAAATTTTCTGGAGTTCGCAAAATTTTCCTGAGCTCACCAACATCACTGAAATTGGAAGAATTCTTTTGAAGTTCGCAGAATTTCACAGAAATTCGCGGACTTCCCATAGGTTTGCAAATGTACATGAAGCTCACAGACTTTCTTTAATTTAGTACAATTTTCTGAAGTTTCATAAAGTTTACAGACTTTCTTGAAGATCACAGACATCCCTGAGATTCCCAGATTCACCGTGAAATTCGCAGAATTTTCATAAAGTTTGCAGAATTTTCCAAAAATTTGCTGATTTTTCCTGAAATTCACAGAATTTTCTTAGAGATCTTGAAGATTTTCGGAACTGTTCAAAACTTTCCAGAAGTTTGTTGAAATTTTCTGAAGTTCGCAGAATTTTCCTGAAACTTACAGACTTTACTGAAATTAGCAGATTATTTTTGAAGTTAACAAAATTTCCCAGAAAGTTGAGTTCACCAATTGCGATGAAGCTCGCAGAAGTTTCATAAAGTTTACAGACTTTCTTTAAGTTCACAGACTTCCCTGAAGTTCCCAGATTTCCCTGAAGTTCCCTGATTTTTTTTTCTGAAAGTCATGAAGTTGGCAGAATTTTCTAAAAATTTGCTGAACCCTCCTGAAATTTGCAGAATTTTCCTGAAACTTTTCAAAACTTTCCAGAAGTGCATTGAAATTTTCTAAAGTTCACAAAATTTTCTGGAAGCACTGAAATTTGCAGAATACTTATAGTTCGCGGCCTTCCCAAAGGTTCGCAAATTTCCATGAAGCTCGCCGACTTTCTTTAATTTAGTACAATTTTCTGAAGTTTCATAAAATTTACAGACTTTCTTGCAGTTCACACCCAACTAACAATTTGAGTGGATTAACAGCTGAAAAGACCATTTTTTAGCAGAAGAAGCTTATTTTTGCCTGAATAAGCTCTTATTCAACATTCAATGTTTGTTGGGCAATCTTCCCTGAAGATCTCAGATTTCCCTGAAATTCTCAGATTTTTTCTGAAATTTTCAAAATTCTCCTGAGGTTGGTAGAACGTTCCAAAAGTATTATTCGAGATAATCAAATCATCAGTATTTTTCAAAACTTCCCAACAGTTTATTAAAATGTTCAGAAGCTTTCAGAATATACCTGAAGTTCGCTGAAATTCGCTGAGTTTTCCTGAAGTTACCAGAATTGTTTCTGGAATTCGTAGAATTTTCTTGAAGCTCACTGAACTTTCAGGTAGATTACTGAATCTTTCTTAATTTCACACAATTTTCCTGAAGGGCTTAGAACTTCCTAGGAGTTCGTAGAATTTGTCAATAGTAAACTGACCTTCCTTCCTTCCTGACCTGACGAACTTCAAGCAGAATATTTCTGAAGTTTGCAAAATTTTATTATAGCTTTTAGAACTTTTTGTGGTTGTGCACTGTACTGTAGGAAACTGTTGCAGAATAATTTTGGAGTTTGCAGTTTTCATTGAATTTTGAATAATTTTTCTAAAGTTCATAAATTTACCTAGAAGTAAAATTTTCCTAAATTCGTTAAAATTTTCCGATGTTCAAAGAATTTTCCTAAAGTTCATTGAAGTTTAATAAACCTTCATGTTGTTCTCAGAACTTTCATGAAGTTCGTAGAATTCTTGTGGAGTACGCAGGATTTTTCGTATGTTTGTAGAACGTTCTGGATATTCACAGTATTCTATGAAATTTACTGTTTTTTAGGGTTCACATACTTCTCTAATATTTTCAGCAGGAATAAGCAGAATTTACTGAAGTTACCAGTATTTTTCCTGAAGTACGCTAACTTCACTGAAGTAGGCAGAATATTTTTGAAGTTCTCAGACTTCCCTAAATTCAGTGGAATTTTCAGAAGTTCATGGACTTCCCTAAAGTTGGCAGACTTCCTTAAAGTTCACAGACTTCTCTGGAATTCCCAGATTTTTCCTGAAATTCACAGAATCTTCCTGAAGTTTTCAGTACTTTCCAATGTTGCTAAACTTTCCTCCGGATTGTTTACAGTGTTGATGATGACCACCCAAGTAACATTGCAAGCTTTATAGAGGCTATATAGCGTTCTACAAGTATAAATCATGCTCTACAGAACCCTTATAAAACCAAAATTGTTACTTGGGCAAATACGATGTTAAATAAGAGACGTCGAACGCGGTTCCAATCGAGCAATGTAAATAAACAGAAGCGCTTCACGAGGAAAAGCGTTGGGAGTATTGAGATTGAGGTTAACATTTAATTTTTTAGATTTAAAAAAATATAAATAAGTATGAAAAGTATTAATCATCAACCCAGTCAGACCTATTATAATTTTTTAAATCAACATAAATTTCATTATCTGTTCCTTCGTTCAAATCCACAACTATTTCAAAAACGGGAACTGTTTGAATGTATGCGTGTACGATTAACTCGTCGCTTCGCACACAAGCGTATTTTTATGGCTTTTGCTCCCGAGGTTGTCTTCGCATCGCGCAAATTTTGACAGGAAAAACTGTCAACCCGTATTTTGGGTGTAGGCTGGCGAAGCCCCGCAATCCATAATAAACGCCCACAAAGGAAAAGGTCAGTCAATTTGTGCCCCAGTCAACATCATGTGACCTATGGAGAGTGACACTCTTAAACTGATCCCATCTTCTAGATATGGAAAAGCTCCTGCTCCAGAAAACCCTCCAGTCCCAGCTCGGGGAAAATGGGACTCGGCGTCTAAGTGAAGCACTGACTGCCAACCGTACGTTTTAGTAATTTTCGCAGCGCAAGATAATGGCATTCCAAAGCCACATAGAAGGGAGACACCCCTCACTCGGGGGAGCAATAAGCTCTTTCAGACTGATTTGATTAAGTTTGTTTTTGTTGACTCCCTTTAACCGGTACAACATGACCGAATTTCCGGTTCCGTCAACGCAAAATTTCGTTTCAAAGGAGGAAGTGTCCCAATTTGAGGTTTGTTTAACTTTGCGAAAATTTTACGGGTTGCCTCCCATATTATCAAAACAGGCACACAGTGAAGGTGAAATACGAGAGAGAAATTGCCTTAAGGTAGGCAAGCTTCGGTATCCATCGATAGACAAACATGGTTGGCGGTTGGTAGGTATTGCGGGGGATCAGATTAGCCACCGAGGGATCATTCTGGAGATTGTTAGTGCTTTCAATGTTATAGTGGGATTAGATGGGACTTTGAGAGTTTTGTCGATGGTCAGGGGTTAATTAAAACTAGTTGGGGCAAGAATGTCGGCTACAATAATGAATTCCATTTTGCTTTACTTCACAGGTTGACGGTGCTGGCAGTGGTGACGGGAATTTTCCAGTACGACCGGTCCGTCCAGTGCATAGAGCTGCTATGGTACTTCCAGATCGGTTACATTTCCATTTTAAGTTGTAAGTAGAACTGAATCTGATTTATGGACGCCTCTCAAGCCATACCGAATTTCAGGTTGCATCCTGTTAGAAATCGCCATTTGCATTGTTGCGATGCGAGGAAGCATCCTGGACATGGAGCCTCGAGCAGTCATGCCCTACCTGTTGTACACCCGAGTCCTGGTCATGATCGTGGACCTAACCTGGCTGATCCTGGGTGCCATCTGGTTGAAGGACCACTACTTCGACTGTCCCATCCAGGAACCGAAGGGAACGATGATTGCGGTGGTCATCTGCAACCTGTTGGTAATCTTCAGCATGTTCACCACCATCTGGTGCACGTTCGATCCGGCCGGACGGTCTTGGGTCAAGATGAAAAAGTACCAACGATCGATGCGGGAATCGGAATCCCGGTTCAACTACAAACGGAGCGGCAGCCGGAGTCGAAACTGGCGCCAGCGGAAAGTGATACGAGCCTACCAGGACAGCTGGGACCACCGGTGTAGACTGCTGTTTTGCTGCATGGGCAACAGCGATCGAAGTCGGAACTCCTTCACCGACATCGCTCGACTGCTGAGCGACTTCTTCCGGGATCTGGACGTAGTGCCGTCTGACGTGGTGGCAGGTCTCGTTCTGCTGAGGAAGTTCCAGAAGCTGGAACGGGAAGCAGTTGTGCGACAGGTAAGCTTTGAATTTCTGCTTACGTTGCAGCTCCGTTGACTGATAAATCCTGATACTATTATAGCGCAAAAACGGTACCTACGAGTTCCTATCCGGTGTTCCCATTACCGCTAATACTCAGTTCTTGGCGTTGAACGACTCCAAAGACTACGATCACTTTCAGGTAACTTGCCGATTGTCGGCTCTGGTTCCACGCGCTAAACTGAATTCCATTACAGACTGTGATCCGCTACATGTACTTCGCCCAGGGTGCCTACGGCTGGCCTATGTTCCTGATGAGTCACTCCCGGACCGGCATCTGCCAGCTCGGTTCGGAGCTGACGTGTTGTCTTTCCTGCTGCCGACGGAAGACCGGCGTCGACGTGGTGGAGGACAACTGCTGCTTCTGCAACTATGCGGCCCTCAAGAAGATGCTGCAGATCGGGGAGGTAATTCGAACTGGGGAGTGCAACGATGATGATTGCCTAAAATTTGGGAGGCTCGCAGTGGACCGGAACTGCACTTCAAGACCACGGGATGGTCCAATGAGTGTCTGTTTGAACCTGAAAATAGTATTTTGTGGAAGACTTATGGACTTGTTCGTGAAGTCATTTTAACATGTTCTGAAAGATTGCGGGAAAAGTTCTCGAGGATTTGTCTTCTAAGTCATGTTTTTGACTAGGTCTTGTTCTATACTGGGTCTTGTTCTAGACTAGGTCTTGTTCTAGACTAGGTCTTGTTCTAGACTAGGTCTTGTTCTAGACTTAGGCTTGTGTTTGACTAGGTCTTGTTCTAGACTAGTTCTTGTTCAAGACTAGGTATTGTTCTAGACTAGGTCTTGCTTTAAACTAGATCTTGTTCTAAACTAGGTATTGTTCTAAACTCGGTCGCGGTTAGACTAGGTCTTTATCTAGACTAGGTCTTGTTCTAGACTAGGTCTTGTTGTAGACTAGGTCTTGTTCTAGACTAGGTCTTGTTGTAGACTAGGTCTTGTTCCAGACTAGGTCTTGTTGTAGACTAGGTCTTGTTCTAGACTAGGTCTTGTTCTAGACTAGGTATGGTTCTAGACTAGGTCTTTATCTAGACTAGGTTTTGTTCTAGACTATGTCTTGTTCTAGATTAGTTGTTGTTCTACACTAGGTCTTGTTCTAGACTAGGTTTTGTTCTAGACTAGGTCTTGTTTAAACTAGGTCTTGTCTTAGACTAGTTCTTGTTCTAAACTAGGTCTTGTTTTAGATTTGGTCTTGTTCTAGACTAGGTCTTGTTCTAGACTTAGGCTTGTGTTTGCCTAGGTCTTGTTCTAGACTAAGTCTCGTTCAAAAAATAGGATTTGTTCTAGAATAGTTCGTGTTCTAGACTAGGTCTTGTTCTAAACTAGGTCTTGTTCTGAACTAGGTCTTGTTTCAGACTATTTCTTGTTCTAGACTAGGTCTCGTTAAAAAAATAGGGCTTGTTTTCGACTAGGTCTTGTTAAAAAATAGGGCTTGTTCTAGACTAGTTCTTGTTCTAGACTAGGTATTGTTCTAAACTAGGCATTGTTCTAAACTAGGTCTTGTTTTAGACTAGTTTTTGTTCTAGACTAGGTCTTATTCTAGACTAGGTCTTGTTCTAGACTAGTTCTTGTTCAAGACTAGGTATTGTTCTAGACTAGGTCTTGTTCTAAACTAGGTCTTGTTCTAAACTAGGTCTTTTTCTAAACTAGGTCTTGTTCTAAACTAGGTCGCGGTTAGACTAAGTCTTGTTCTAGACTAGGTTTTGTTCTAGACTCGGTCTTGTTTAAACTAGGTCTTGTTTTAGACTAGGTCTTGTTCTAGACTAGGTCTTGTTTTAGACTAGTTCTTTTTCTAAACTAGGTCTTGTTTTAGACTAGGTCTTATTTTAGACTAGGTCGCGGTTAGACTAGGTCTTTATGTAGACTAGGTCTTATTCTAGACGAGGTCTTGTTCTAGATTGGGTCTTGTTTTAGACTAGATTTGGTCTAGACTAGGTCTTTATCTAGACTAGGTCTTGTTCTAAACTAGGTCTTGGTCTGGACTAGGTCTTTATCTATACTTGGTATTGTTCTAGATTATACCTTGTTCTAGACTAGGTCTTTATCTAGACTAGATCCTTTTCTAGATTAGGTCTTGCTCTAGACTAGGCCTTGTTCTATACAACCATGTATTGTAATTGGCCTTGAAACCCTTTAGACTGAAAGCTTCCATTAGTCAGCTAAAGACCTTATGAAGCTTCTGGAAACACGAGATGCAAATGACGGAGCAGTCTCGATCAAAATGCCCATCAAAACTCTATCGATGCCAACTAATCGGGAAAACCCCCGACTGTATTGCAGGTCGAGGTCATCTACGCCACATATCACGTAGACATCGGTGAAACGCCATTCTTCGTTGCCGTCGATTACAACTACAGCAAGATCGTGGTCAGCATCCGCGGTACGCTGAGCATGAAGGACGTCCTGACGGATCTGAACGCCGAAGGAGACTGCCTTCCGCTAACTCCACCCCGCGAAGATTGGATCGGTCATAAGGGCATGGTCCAGGCGGCGATCTACATCAAGAACAAACTGGAGGAGGAGAATCTCATTCAACGGGCCCAGGCCCACAATCCGGCGCGTGGTACTCAGGACTTTGGCCTGGTGCTGGTAGGGCATTCGCTCGGTGCCGGAACGGCAGCCATCCTGGCCATTCTGATGAAGCAGCAGTACGACGATCTGCACTGTTACAGCTATTCACCGCCAGGTGGCCTGTTAAGGTAAGAAGACAATTTTCTCTCCAGGAATTCCTAACCTGATTTGAACCCCCTTTTCAGCATGCCCGCGGTAGAGTATAGCAAATCGTTCATTACCTCGGTAGTGGTAGGGAAGGACGTCGTTCCGCGGATCGGTCTACACCAGATGGAAGCCCTCCGGGCGGATCTGATCAACGCCATCCAGCGGAGCATAGATCCCAAGTGGAAGACGATAGCCTGTTCGGTGATTTGCTGCTGTTGCGGTCCGGAACCGACTTCCGTAACCATGATGTCCACCAAGGAGGAGCACGTTATACGCTACGAACAGGACCGGACCAGTGCCCGCCAGAGCACCGTTCACCCCAACGACAACTCCATTGCCCTGACGCTGCACCACCCTCTGTATCCACCCGGACGAATCATTCACATCGTACGGCACCATCCCAGTCAGGACGAGTAAGTACAACTTTTTTCAGACTCGCAAACGTTTGCAACTGACTTCTATTGACTTTGATAGTTCTCGATGCAGGAAATTTTCACATCTGTCAACGTTTTTCGGGGCGACGCTTTCACCCCTGAATCGTGGCAAAATGGGATACATTCTGCACTCGTTTGCGAAATTGCACTTCCTGTTTACAATAAAGCACCCGGTTTTTCCGCTTCGAAAATTGACACACATACTTGTACATGTAGAAGGGTCATCATCATCATCATCATCACCACCATCAACACTGACACCGACAAGCGAGCGGCAAAATTGACACAGTGTAGTGCTTGGCAAACCTTATGCAAACTTGTACATATACCTGGTGAAGTAACGCAGTTTTGTCAATCCACTTCCTGCATTGCCATTTCAATGCCCTCCCCCCTCCCACGTCCGTTCGCAGGTTGCTTCTTCGACGCGGAGAAAGGATGATGATGGCAGTTTGAGTAGGATGAGGAATAGTTTCGGAGTGTTTAGACTGGTTCATCATATGCGATTTTATCTGTTCTATTTAATTCGATATAATTTGTGCTAAATGCATTACGATGAAAATATGCTTAACCGTACATCAGTCGTAGCTTTGCATTATGTACGGTAGAATTTGAGCATCATGCGATGAATTTCATACGACTTCTTGAAGTCATCAACCGGGTTGATTTGAACCAGTGCAGTCCTGGTCCCACCAGGGCACAAAAAAAAGTATGTCACTTGTAACCACCCGTAAAGAAAGGACATAGAGCAGCTCGAGGATAAAAAAAAAACACGAATCCTTTCATTGCTTTCATGAGATCCATTTTTCCTGTTATTCACCCCTTCTCTGCTGCTGGTTCCGCGCCTCTAGCGCTCGAACGTTTCACGTGACAAGATTCAATTATACCCTGGAGGAAGTTTTGCTTGTACTTACCAACCGACCAAACGACCGACGACAACGATGGGAACCGGTGCCATGCCATGTTTATCTGTGCCTAGAAATGAAAATAAATAAGTGAGAATTATGATGAATGCTGAATATATGCTTGGTGTTCTGCAATTCACCATTGCCCTAGATTGAGAAGCTTCCTCCACTTCCGTTGGCTAGAACACTGTCGTTACTTGCATCCGACACAGTAAATTGAACGGTTTCGAATAGCCAAACTAATTGCAAACATTGCATTAGGTCCTAAGTAACATTGACAGATTCTCTTCGTCGACTTTATCTTTGTATCTCCACGGCCAATTAAAGACATTCCTAGGTTTTTTTTCTGCGCACAGATCGATAAAAGAAGTTTTTATCTAGCATTCAGTACGACAAATACAGCAAAAAACAGTTATGTGCTCAAGTTATTAACGAAGGAGGAAGTCGACGAAAAGAATCGATCAATGTTACTTAAGACCTAATGTAATGTTCAGCTTGAAATAAGTGATTGCCGAATTTTGGATGAAGTGGCCGAATTACCTAAATCCAGCTGATGGAAAATTATTACTCTTGTCTTTAACAGTGCTCATTACTTTAAGGGGGTATTCCCGATCTTTTTTTTCAAAAAATCAAATTTTTTTTTTTCACATTTTTTTGTACTTTAGACTATATACTTTCATCCCCCCAAGCCGTTTTCCGATCAGCGAATTCAGTGTCCAGGCATAGCTGACTAATGGTAAGAACCCCCAAATGGTTTTAACTAAAGTCAAAACTTTAAACGCGTTTTTCTCGAAACCACATTTTTTTTATCGGGCGAAGATTTTTCTCAGAAACTATAAGAGATATTGACTTGAATTTTTGCGCATTTTGTTCCTTATTAAATTCTTTGGAGCTTCTCCCACTTTCAGCCAAAAATATTAACATTTAACATTGTTTGAAGCACCTTAAAGTTGCAAAAAAGCGGGCTAAAAATCGCCTGTTTTTTTCATATGGCCGCCATTTTGTTAATTTGCAAGATTTTTTGCTGCCAACGGGAGAAGCTCCAGAGAATCTTATGCAGATTATTATTTCATCACGAAATCTGTTTCAGATGAAGCCGTTCCAGAGAAAAGTCTTCGCCCGTCCAGGCGTTTGCGGCGAACAGGGGTCTGTTTGTCGCCATTTTGTGACGTCAATAATGTCTTTTTTATGTCGAAAAAAAATTATTTGTAAACTTTAATGTTCAATAAACAAGAATCCCAAAGAGTTAGGCGCATTACTATTCATTTTCCTTGAAAAAAAATTAATTGAAAAACAGGCCGAAAAAAGGCAAAAGATTGGGAATACCCCCTTAAATGATCTTTATTTCTTGTATTTGTGTGGTTTACATGTATTACTTTTCAAGTGACACAGATGCGTTTTTTCAACTTTAGTTCATTTGAAATTTCAATTATTATTAATTACAGTTCCTAGTCCTATCAGGCTTGTTTTAAGAATGACCACCTTGGTGGGATGGATTTGTTTTAAATATAAAAAAGGAGACTACTTATAACTACAACTAACCTACAACTACTATATACACCTAATCTACTATATACAAATTGCTTATCAAAGCATGTTCTGATAAAATACATTTCTGTGTAAATTTAGTGTAAATTTCGTTAATTTTGGAATCTATTTTGGCAATGCCTGCCTCTTCGTGTAAATTTGTTATTCTAGTGTCGAAAGGACGATCAAGTACCATCCTCAGCACTCTATTCTGAGCGACCTGAATTTTGTTCCTGTGAGTCTGTGCACATGATTCCCACACCGGAGCTGCGTAGAGGATCGCAGGTGCTATGATTTGTTTGTAGACGGCTAGGATCTGCGGCAAATCAGCGGATACAGACACCTAACCAAGGCAGAACATTTGACTACAGGTTTCTCTACATGCGCACGGAAGAGGAGCTTTTCATCAAACAACGGCCCTTATTACGGGTGTCACTTCACGGTGAAAACGAAGTGAAGTGAGTAGTTGTCACTCACGGTGAAGTGATTGCCGTGTAAATCAAATGAGAATCACTTCACCGTGAGTGATAAGTTGTCACTTCACCGTTATGTGACATCGGTAATAAGGGCCAACATCCCGAGATAGAATACTTCGGCAGACCACTCAACCCTTGTGCCATCCATGATTACAGTACAAGGTAGAGCCGGTTTCAGTTTGGGTGATTGCCGATGGAGGAACATGATCGCTTGTGTTTTGGAGGCATTGATTTTGATTTTCCACGTGGTGGCATAATCAGCAAAGGCGTTAAGGCATCGTTGAAGTTTGATCGTTATTTCGCAAGGCATTCTTCCCTTGACGGCTATTGCGGTATCATCTGCGAACAGGAAAAACACGCAACCGTCACCGATGGGAGGAATGTCGGAAGTGTAAATGCTGTAAAGCAAGGGGCCCAGCAGACTGCCTTGCGAGACTCCTGCTGGGATGGAAAACGTGTCGGAAAGACAACCATTCAACGATACCTTAAACGACCTTTGCTGAAGGTAGTTACGGGTGATTTGGAAAGTAATGGAAAGTAGAAGTTACAAAGCTTGTATACAAGCCCATTGTGCCAGACATTATCAAACGCTTTCTCAACGTCTAACAAGGCCATGGCTGTGGACTTGGATACAGCTTTGTTACTTCGGATGTTATTATTGGGTGATTGGTGGAGTGCCCCTTTCTGAACCCAAACTGTTCCGGAAGGAGAATGTCGACAAACTTGAGCAAACGATTGAGAATGAGTTTCTCGAACAATTTGTTCAGCGCTGAAAGGAGGCTGATTGGTCTGTAGCTTGAAGGCAATTAATGTTGGATCCTTACCGGGCTTACGGATTGGTATGATTTGTGCTACTTTCCAGATGCTTGGAAAGTAGTGCAGTTCCAAACATCTGTTGAAGATAGTGGTTAGAAGAGACTGCACTTTCATGCTGAGTCTCTTCAAGATCAAGTTGAATATACCGTCATACTCGGGAGCTTTCATGTTCTTGGTGCATTTCAGCACTGAGCAAATCTGTTGTATTGTAATCATATCCGCCGGAGGCACGACACAAGGGGAAACATCTAGGTTTTGAACGCATTGCGCAACCTGATCATCGAGCGGACTTTGGATAGTCAAGCCAAGCAAATGCGATGAAGCGACATGCTTGCCGATCGCATTTGTTTTCTCCTGTGGGGTGATTGAAAGCCGATCGTCATCATTTTCGACTCTGAGAGGTGGAATGGGTTTGGGATGAGTTTTCAGGACCTTGGCTATGGTCTTGAGCGGTCGTCCAGATTCTGGACAAGCCGCCCAAAACTTTCGTTCCAGCGTGAGACTATTCTGGAAGCAATCTCCTTGTTCAGATCGGCCATTTCACGTTTCCTCGCTAGATCTCCGGTTCTCTGGAACTGGCGTCTACGCACATTTCTCAAGCGAATCAGTAATTGGGTGTGGGAATCAATGGCAATAAACTTACCCCTCACAGGAATTCGTCGGGCGCACGCCTCGTCAGCCACGGTTATGGCTTGGTGGAGTCCCTCCAACGCTCGGTCGATGTCCTCCACGGTGTCAAGCGGCGGATTATCGATGATGTGCCTGTCTACCACGCGTCCAAACTGGGCCCAGTTTACGCGATGGTAGTCCTTGCGCAGGCTTGAAGCAGGAGCCACGTTGCAGCCCAGTTCAGCCACCACCGGTTGGTGGTCGGAGCTGAGTTCGTTCAATGCTACCGGCGTGGACAAGCCGATATTTGTCAGGAACAGGTCTAGCGTCGATGGGTTGCCCGCCGGTGAGATGAATGTTGGTTCATCCGAAAACCAAACGGAGTACAGCCCATGCTGTGAGTGGTCGAACAGGAGACGACCGTTCTGGTTCTGCTGGTAGTTCCGCCAGGCCTCATGGCGAGCATTCAGATCTCCTCCAACTACGAAGCGGGAACCGGTACGGGTGATGGTGGACAGGTCCTTCTTGAATTTAGCCGCTAATCCACTGCTGGCGGCACACTGTCAAGGGCAGTAGACGGCGACGAACTGGACGTATCCAGTCGACGACTCCACCTCCACACCAAGGGCCTCGATGATAGAGGTGCGGA